CGTGGTCCTTCAAAAAGCCGCCCCCCCTCCCCCCCCCCCTTTGCTGTCACTGGGATGCCATCATCTAGTCCAACCTGCTCATCCCTTGTTTCTCAAAGGAACCCAACCAGATGACAAGAAGCACGATTGCTAATCAAGTCTGATCAAATCAGAACATCTGTAGGACCACAGCCACCTGTAGAAAGCACTGCCCCCATGTCACCATCTAAATCCTTCGCAAAGTTACAATGCCTTGCAAGTTCAGCTGCGCCAGTTCCCAAGCAGGTTTCAGATTGTCCCAGGGCAAGCCCTGGACACAGCTCTGAGGTTTACACCCCATCAGAAGGCAGTACCAGCTTGCCTGCAACACCTTCCACTGGCCTTGTTTCCAGCCATAAAAAGCAACCAAATGCAAAAGCCTAATAAAAGCAGGGGGTGACTCTTAAGTTTGAGGAGCACTCAATCAGCTGTACAATGAGCAGCTGAGTGCCAAGCTTTGGGTGCACCTCTCCCAGCCTCCCTTTGCAAAGCCAGATTGCTCAACACCCCCAGCTGCCTACCTGCATCTAGGTGAACAAAACGGGGGAAAATGGAATGAGGATGATGATTGCCCTCTCCCCCCTGCTGCTTCCTCATCATCCATCTGCTAAAACCAGCTTTAACAGGCAAGGGATGGAGTTGTTTACACAACTAATGAGGTCAATGCAATCAAAAGCAGCTTTTATTTCACCCATAAAGATTTAAAATGGAAAGAACCCTCAGGGCACGAGGTGCATTTCATGGTATTTGGGGATAACAATAATCACAAGTAAGGAAAATAATTACAGCCAATGAAAAAGTCACATAAGAACCAATTCTCTCCTGTATCTAATTAGGATTTGATACACAGTGGCTCAGGTTTTCCATGCAGTCTAAAAGACCATATAAAAACACGCATTTCCAAGCTTCCAGTCCAGTTCTTACTCTCCACTGCGAGCTCGGTAAGTTATTTACCTATTTCTATTTCTAACTAGCAAAATATCCTTTTGTTGGTACTCTGAACTTGAATCTAGATCCTGCAGAAATACTCTGACACTGTGAATTAAGGGGGTTGTTTCTTTTAAAGGATCTTTCTTGGTGGTTTGGTTTTTTTTTTACAGGCATAGACAGATACAGGACTTTAAAGTTGGGCCTGAGATTTACAGAACCTCACTCAATTTGGGCTGTGATTTTCCACTTTGATCTGGCCATTTAGGTACCCCTATCTTAAATTTGCTTTGAAATAACTGAATTCTAGATTTCTCCTCTATTAGAAGCCATTTATTTTAGTAGTTCATGTAGCTATTTCTGTTGGCAGCTGACCTTTACCACCCTAATCAGAGACTGATGTAGATTATTATACCAGAGAGATTAATTTTTATCTGGAATAATTGAAGGAAAGTTTGGCTTCTGCATATTAAAGACCCCTTTTATAGGCACTTTTGGGGGGATTCTTCTTTACAAGTGCTAATATTACCTTCCCACTTCCAAAACATAGCAAGAAAACCCTGATCCAATCCTGCCTGGCTTTTCTCCGGTGGCCACAGTTACTTGCCAGCTGGCATCTTTTGAAACAACTCATGCTGACATATAGCAGAGGGACCTGACCCCCAAGAGCTTGTTCTTCAGGCAGTCCTGTATATCTGCAAAAGCGACTGTTGCAAAGTAGAGCCACCCGAGTGCCATTTGCTAACGCTGAGCAAAGCTGATTCGCAGTCAGGTTTTAAATTTTAATTAAGAAATCCAAGGCCTCAGCACTTCTCCACCCTCAATCACATCTTTGGAATGGCCACCTCATGTCCTCTAAGTACAGCAGAGATGACACCCCCCCAGCTAGGCGATGCCTCCCCCCAGCAGCCGGGGCAGACCCTGCACCCTCCTGCCTTTGGGCAGGCCACCCCCATGCCAGGAGCACTTCAGCCCCGGCAGGGCAGGCTGCTCCACAAGCTCATCCAGGCAGCTGAGGTACAGACATGAGCAGGCACCTCCTGTGATCCTTGCAGCCCTCTTTTCCCCAGCTTCTACTGGAGCAAACACAGGAGACCAAGCAAGAGACAGCAGAGTACAGAGCAGCCCATAAAGCCACCATAGCACTGCATCCCAAGAGGCAGGGAGCTACATTTGACTTTTTCTGCTCATATGGGACACTGGCAGCTTGAGCCAGGCTTTGAAAAGTTGCTCTGTCCTTAATGAACATTACACTTCCAAAAAATAGAGCTCTGCCACATCACCCTGCCAATTATAAAGATAACAATCCTCTGGTCTGCAATTTAAATCAGCATCAAGAAGGGCAATACTGTCTTTTGCTTTCCCTGGTTGCCAGCAGAAAGTCATTCCAGTTTCGGCTGAGGCATCTGGAAAGCAAATAAATGATAGCCCTTGCCAGAAGATGAGGACCTCAGCACTAATCCCAGATACGCCACTGCCTCACTAGCTGGAACAAGCAGGTCACTCTGCCCGAAACTCCCCTTCTCATAGGGATAATAGCTACCTGCTTCACCTCACTCCAAAGCTGGGAAAGAGCTCATTAGCTAAATGCAAAGCTGTGCAGCTTCTGCTGCGTTGAGGAGGCTGAGAGCACAGCAAGCTCAAACAGCAGAAAGGCAGCTTGTCAGGTACAAGCAGTGATTGGGGACAATCTTTTTAGCAGGGCCAGCTGGGACAGGACAAGGGGGGATGGCTTTAAACTAAACCAGGGGAGGTTTAGACTGGATCTAAGGAAGAAATTCTTTCCAGTGAGGGTGGTGAAGCCCTGGCAGGGGTTGCCCAGAGAGGGAGTGGAGGCCCCATCCCTGGGAACATCCAAGGCCAGGTTGGACAGGCCTCTAAGCAACCTGATCTGGTTAAAGGTGTCCCTGCTCCCAGCTGGGGGGTTAGGCTGGGTGACCTCTAGGGCATCCCTTCCAACCCAAACCATTCTATGATTCTATGATCTGCAGGGAATTCATTTCTCTTTCTTCCCTATTTTGGTTTTTTTTGTTTAGGTTCATCTCCATCGCAGAGCAATGGCATTTTATGGGTACCAATGCAAGCAGCAGTGCTATGTTCCAGGCAGGGTGAAGCACACCACGCCAGTCTTCACGCAGTGCCACCACCACCCCAGCGCAGTGAACTGCGTGCAGTGTGCACCATGTGCTTCCACAGGCGCCAAGCTGTGCACGGTGAGGAAGACCATGCACAGCAGCCCCAAGTGCTCCGCACCATGTTCCTCACAATGTGTTGAGACACACATTGTGCAGGGCCAGTCTTCATCCTGTTGCCCCAGGTCTCCTGATCCATGTACCGTGACATTCCCTCAGTCCCACGTGCAGGGCAGGGAACATCTCTGCCTGCCACGCTGTGGCCAGCCATGCGTTACAGGGTGCCCCCAGGCATGCACTCCAACTCACGTGTACCACCACAGCTCATATCCTTATTCATACCAGTGGTGCAATAGCTACCACTACAACTGTGGGCAACAATAAACTCCATGGAGGTGCCAAGAGAACAACCAGGTGATGAAGAGCAAGATGCACGCCCATAGCTGAGTGCACAGGCGCAGCTTTCAGAAGCACAACCCTTCTCCTGCTGCAATCACTGGGGCTTGTGGACAACCTGACACCTTTACAAGCCAGCCCTTATTTAATGATCTCCATGTAATACTCTGCATTAGATTTAGAGGTCTCATAGCTTCATACTTACAGTCTCCCATCATCTACAGAGGACTCAGATCTTGACTGCATGAAGACTGTTTTTCCAAGACTGCCAGTGCAAACGTTACGCAACTTTTACCATGGGCATCATCACTCACATGGATTGCATTGCGTTGTCAAAGTGGCCTCAGCTAGCCCAGTGCCAACAAAAACTAGGTCCTTCCATGCTAATTCTGCTAAGAATACACATTTCTTTCTGCTTTCAACTTGGTTCCAGAGGAGATTTTTGTAAAGAAACCACTTTTTAATTCTGTACTTTGTTCTATAGGCAACCAAGAGAAATAAGTAAATGTGAAATGGTGGAAAACAGGACTTGGCTTTCAAGTCAAAGGGGTCTGTTACATGAAGCCACTCACTCTGGAAGCACTTACAACTTAAATATCCACCTCTGATGTACCAGCTGGAAGCCAGAGTACTGGCTTTCTAGTCTGCATTACTTTATTCTCTATGGTATATAACCAACACCTCACATAATAAAGCCTCTACTGCATCAAACTATCTGCCTCCTACTTTGTTTTCTCCTCCGTCCCCATTCACACTTCGAGCCGAAAAGCCACAGTTGCGCAGCAGCCACAGGGAGAGAAGCCATGCTTCCACCCCTGCCGGTAAACACTCAGCTCCACACCATGGATCTCAAAACAGCTCACAGAAAAGCTGAGGCAGCTGTAGGATGACTAACACAGTGAATCAATGAGCCACCAGCAAACACTGGAATTGTCAGGGCAGCGCTCTGACCTCTAGACCACACTGCTGCATGCGGTAGGACATTCAGCAAGTCATAAATTGAGGCCTTATGGCCCCATCCACCAATAAACCCCAATTAAATTCACCCCAAATCATTCCTTGCACATTTGGGAGCTGTGGCCCAGCAATCCCTTGTGCTCCATCACGTGGCCAGCAGATTCAGGGAGGCAGAGCAAGGCAAGCCCCAGGCCAGCACATGCTCTTTCACAGCCCAGTGGCCAAGGGCTCAGCACAAAAATCCCACCCCATCAAGGACCCACAGTGCCACAAGCAGCCAGCCCTTCAGAGTAATGCATCAGTATCAGAACAAGGCACAGCAGAAATCCTTAGATTGGCAGTGATTTTTTTTTCCTATCAGCACTGAAATCGATATCCCCAAATGTGTCACTCATGAGAGGGTTGGGCAGGCTGCAGGACTCCAAATTCAGTCTGGTTTGCACAGCAAGAACGCATCTTTTAAAAGAACAAAAGGTTTGAAGTCAAAAATAGAACAAGTAGACTGTCTCGGAGCCAAAAGAAAAAAAAAATCAGACACAACAGCTCTGAAGTGGCACAACTCCCCTGGAGTCAGCAGAGCTGAGGATGACTTACACTGCTCCAGATCTGCCTGCTAGGAGAGAAGTAATAAAGTTGTGCTCTCCACCAAGAAGCCAAAGGGCACGCCTCTAATGTGGTTGCATTTAAAGGAGGGCAAAGCTCCTTGGCAATACAAGGGGAGCCCTCTTCCATTCCCTCGCCTGGATGCTACACCTCAGCAGGCTGTTCCAAGCAGCAGCACGAACCAGTGCCTTCCTGCATCTCCCCTCATGGTTTTTCACCCATACCATCGTGCTACACCCAGGCTGTAAGAGGTCTGGGGCAGTCAGAGGTCCCAGTACTGTGTGTTCACCTGGGGAACGTCCCTGTTTAAGAGCTCCTTGCCTCAGTTCATCACACTCCCTGCATCGCTTGCCTGCAAACGCTTCCCATTTGCCCAACTCTGCTGAGCTCCCCCACTCCTGGACAATAGTTTTGCAATGAAAATGCATGCGATTTGTATTTAAATGCGTCTGCACAACAGAGCTGCCTGTTCTTTCAACAAGCTGGGCAGCAACTGCCACATTCTTCTTATTCCTAATTAAAAACAAAAAGGGGAGAAATTAGGAAGGCATTTAAAGTGTGCCTGCCATTCAGAAACCTCAGTCACACTTCCAGAACTGTCTACAGAGGCAGACAGATGCATCAACATGGTTAAATTCAAATTGCCATGCAATCAAGTTGGCCCAGCCCAGGGAAATGGGGAACATTGGGCTGGAGCTACCCTGCAAGCGCCACAGCCCACTCGTTCCAGCAGCAAGGCCAGCTTGGCCCAAGGAGCTCAGCTTGGTCTGCACCAGACACCCAGTCCTGCCCTTGGATGCTCAGAGGCTGAAAGCAAACAGCAACTCAGTTAACTAACACAAAATCCACCCCCAACAATGATATATTAGGTCCTGTATAACTAAAGGTTTTAGAATTAAAATAATATTTGAAAAAGAGGGCTTTCACCAGTAGCTGATTGGCAGTACTTTTAGCTCAGCAGCATCACAAAGAATAATTCAAATAAATTCCAATAAAAAGTATTGTGAAAGTAATTAAAGACCAGTTTTCCCTGTTTCAGGTGGAAGAGCCCAGGAACACATTAGAAACCTTTGTCCCATCCCAGATTTAAGCCTTGTCCCCAGCCACTGTCCCACAGGAGGAGGGAGCCACCTGACCACTCTGGGGCTTCTCAGAGGCCACATCAAGTTCTCAACAAGACAGCAGGACCTCAAGCATTTTCAGTCTGAAGCTGAGTTCACACAGTGAATCTTCCTGATCAGCTTTGGCTGACCATGCACCTACAGTTCAAAACCTAGAAGGAAGAGCAGGAGAAGGAGTGGCACCATCACTCTCAGGTAAGAGCTGAAGCCCCCTGGAGCAATTCATAGCTAGGGATTTGCTCTTCAGTCCCTTCTTTCTGGTGCAATTCAAAAGCACAGGGGTTGGTGGGTTTATCCTCATACCATCCTGCCTCCAACATCAACTGTAAAGCATCCAAAGCCACTTCTGGCACACAGCAGCCAAGAATTTGTGGGAGAGCAAACCCACAGGCTCCTTTTCCAGCCCTGATGGGATGGAAAGGGCTTTCCACACACAACCAAAACCATCCACTGCATCGGAAGGGGTCAGAGGAGACATCCCCAGGAAGGCAGCTCCCTGCATGTCCCCCAGGGCTGCCACCCATCTGCTCTCATCATTGCCAGCACCTGACCACAACCAGCCAGCACCTGCTGCTCAAAGCCTTTCATTTACTGCTCTTTCAACATGTGGCATTCAGATTTTATTACTACTTTTCAAACTTTTTTTTATTATTATACTTGGAGCCAACTTTGTGCTAGCTAACCTCACAAAGTGCAGTAGCCATGTTTATTTCATAGCATCATAGAATGCTTTGGATTTGAAGGGACCTTTAGAGGCCATCTAGCCCATCCCCCCTGCAGTGAGCAGGGACATCACTAACCAGATCAGGTTGCTCACAGCCCCATCCAACCTGGCCTTGAATGTTTCCAGGGGTGGGACCTCCACTATCTCTCTGGGCAACCCATGCCAGTGTTTCACCACCCTCACTGTAACGAATTTCTTCCTTAGATCCAGTCTAAATCCACCCTGGTTTAGTTTAAAGCCATCACCCCTTGTCCTGTCACAACAGTCGTCTCTAAAAACTTCCAGTGCATTATCAGGCTGTTCATTATTTTGAGAGCCCACCTTGCTGCAGACAGTAATTCACACCAGAGCATCTCCTTGCCATGCTCTCAGCTGTCACCTGGTGGATGTGTATCTGTACTTCAGCCGCTCGCTCTAGAAATAAAGGTCAGGTTCCCAACAGCCCAGAGAGCATCCCAGCAATCCCAACACATTTGCAATCGCAGCCTGGTTAATGCAGCTGAGCTATGCCCCCCTCTGGGCACTACCAGCTCACACAGTTCTTGAGTTTTACAGGATCTCCAACAGCAAGGAAGCCACCAGCTGCTCTCTTGCAATTAATCAAGCTGCATTTACTTCTGAAGCCCATGCAGTAGCTCCTTCCCTCCTTGAGATGGGCCAGGCCAAGGACACACCTCAGTGCTGACAGCCCAAAGACCAATGCTCAGCACTCAAAGTCCTGGTGATAAAGGAGAGCAAGCAAAAGCTTAAGATGTTGGTCTCCAAAATGCTAGGAAGTGGGTTTGATGCCACAGAGGGGTTGAAAAGCAGGTAGAAACCTCTCAGACTTTCTCCCTACAGTCTATAGCCCAGGTATCAGAGAGGATCCTGCAAGCCAAGACTTTAACTCCTCAAGAAACTACAGAAACAGGCAGTAGAGAAAAACAAGAGCTAGAGGAACCCCAAAACTATTCCAGCGAGCAAGAGCAGCAGTGAAGCACAGCCCTCCATAGCATCACACAGGTTAAAACCATCTGAAACCATTTTCCACCCCAGCTCTTGATATGGGAATTAAGTACCTGTGGTGGTCTCACAGCAGGGCTGCAGAGCTGGCTACAGACTTGCAGGCTCTTCTTCACTTGTAAGTATTTTGCTGGAAGAAGTCTTCCCCTTGCTGAGAAAGGCAACTCTGGGCAGGTTGCAGTAGAGAAGCCCCTTGCAGATAAATAAACCAATACAAATACATAGCCCTTTCTGGAAAAGGAGTCAAAGCAGAGTTGCTTCCACCCCTCAGCCAGCGCGATCACCAAAACTCTCTCAATCCATTAGAGAGGAACAGAAAAGACCTTTCTGCTGTGTTCAGAGCAAGCTTTCCTGTTCCTAAGCTTTAGATGCCTCTGCCAGCTTGATAATGTTAGTTCAAACAAAGCACTCTACTGGTAACTAACCCCTATGCCAACAGCTCCTTCAGAAGACCCCCACACCAGAAACCAGTAAAGGCTGGAGGGAGGACATTTATATCTAGTGGGTGCCTGGGTCATTGGTTGCCAAGCACGAGGCAGCTGAGGGCAATCTGGCTCCAAGCAGGCATAAAGGGGACATGG